CACACACACACACACACACACACACACACACACACACACACACACACACACACACACACACACACACACACACACACACACACACACACACACACACACACACACACAGGGAGTGGCCCTACTCATGAGAAAGGAATGGAGTTTTAAGGAGATGGCTATACCGGGCTGTGAGGGTTTCAGAGACTACATAGCAGGCACCATGACAATGGGAGGACCAAGAATAGTAGTAGCAGTAATATATAACCCTCCAACAAATGACAGAAGACCCAGTCAAGAGTATGAAAACAACAACATGGAAGTTAAAACTATAATTGGGAGGGCAGCCTCTGCTGCCTGTAGAAATAGATCCCACCTGCTTATCATGGAGGACTTCAATCACGGAAGGATTGACTGGGAGAACAAGAAACCACATGGAGGCAAGGATACGTGGAGAGCCAAACTACTGGAGGTGGTGACTAGAAACCTTTTAACCCAGCATGTCAGAGAACCCACAAGGATGAGAGGAAATGACGAACCAGCGAGACTCGACCTAGTCTTCACTCTGAACGACTCCGACATAAGAGAAATCAGTTTTGAAGCCCCAGTAAGAATGAGCGACCACAGTGTACTGGTGTTTGAGTACTTGATTGAAGAAGAGTTATTGAACTCGAGGAGAGATACCGAAAACAAAAGGTTAGCATACCGAAAGGGAAACTATGAGGAGATAAGAAAATTCCTATCAGATATAGCATGGGAAACAGAGCTCAGGGGAAAGACGGCCCAAGACATGATGGACTACATCACACAGAAGTGCAAGGACGCAGCAAACAAGTTTGTCCCAGTCTAAATGGAAAACAGTGAAATGAAGATGAGAAACCCATGGTTTAATCAGAGATGTAGGTTAGCTAAGCAGCAAAGTAAAAGGGCAGGGAGAAACTATAGGAATAACAGGACACTGGAGAACAGAGAAAGATATCAGAATGCCAGGAATGAATATGTCAGGATGAGAAGAGAGGCAGAAAGACAATACGAAAATGACATCGCAAGCAAGGCAAAGACTCAGCCTAAATTGCTGCATAGCCACATCAGGAGAAAAACCACAGTAAAGGAACAGGTTATGAAATTAAGAATAGGGGAAGAAGGATTCACTACAAACGACAAGGAAGTGTGTGAGGAACTGAATAAGAAATTCCAGGAGGTCTTCACCTTAGAGCAAGGAGAAATCCCAGAGATAAGAGAGGGAATAGCTAACCAGGATCCACTGGAAGAGTTTGAGATTACCAGCGGGGAAGTAAGGAAGTGTTTACTAGAGTTGGATGTGACAAAGGCTATAGGCCCAGATGAAATCTTCCCTTGGATACTAAGGGAAGTAGCAGAAGAACTGTGCCTGCCACTCTCCATAGTGTTCAACAAATCACTGGTAACAGGGGAACTGCCAGAAATTTGGAAAGTAGCTAACGTTCTCCCGATATACAAGAAAGGGGATAGACAGGAGGCACTGAACTACAGGCCAGTGTCCCTAACCTGCATACCATGCAAGCTGATGGAGAAGATTGTGCGAAGAAAGGTAGTGGAACATCTGGAGCGAAAGAACTTTGTAATACAGCATCAACATGGGTTTAGGGATGGCAGGTCCTGCCTCACAGGGTTACGCGAATTCTACGATCAGGCAACAAAAATCAGACAAGAAAGAGAAGGTTGGGCAGACTGCATATTTTTGGATTGTCAGAAAGCCTTTCATACAGTACCACACAAGAGGCTAGTGAAAAAGCTGGAGATGCAGGCCGGTGTGAAAGGGAAGGTACTCCATTGGATAAAGGAGTACCTAAGCAACAGGAGACAACGAGTCAGTGTGAGGGGTGAGGTCTCAGATTGGCGAGACGTTACAAGTGGAGTCCCACAGGGGTCAGTCCTTAGACCTATACTGTTTCTGATACATGTAAAGGATCTTCCAGAGGGTATAGAACCGTTTCTCTCAATGTTTGGTGATGATCCAAAAATTATGAGGAGGATTGAAACAGAGGATTATAGTAGGAGGCTACAAGATGACCTAGACAGACTGAGTGAATGGTCCAACAAATGGCTATTGAAGTTCAACCCGAGTAAATGCAAAATAATGAAACTAGGCAGTGGAAACAGGAGACCAGACACAGGATACAGAATAGGAGATGAAGTACTTAATGAAACGGACAGAGAGAAAGATCTAGGAGTTGATATCACACCAAACTTGTCTCCTGAAGCCCACATAAAAGAATGACGTCTGCGACATGTGCGAGGCAGGCTAACATCAGAACAGCCTTCAGGAACCTGTGTAAGGAATCATTCAGAATCTTGAACACCACGTACGTAAGACCAATCCTGGAGTATGCGGCTCCAACATGGAGCCCGTACCTTGTCAAGCACAAGACGAAGCTGGAAAAAGTCCAAAGGTATGCCACTAGACTAGTCACAGAACTAAGAGGCATGAGTTACGAGGAAAGGCTGTGGGAAATGCCCCTTATGACCCTGGAGGACAGAAAAGTAAGGGGAAATATGATCACAACCTACAAAATCCACAGGGGAATCGACCGGGTAAAGAAGGATAAACTATTCAACACTGGTGGGACGCGAACAAGGGGACACAGGTGGAAACTGAGTACCCACATGAGCCACAGGGACGTTAGAAGGAACTTTTTCAGTGTCAGAGTAGTTAACGGATGGAATGCATTAGGCAGTGATGTGGTGGAGGCTGACTCCATACACAGTTTTAAATGTAGATATGATAGAGCCCAGTATGCTTAGGAACCTGTACACCAGTTGATTGACAGTTGAGAGGCGGGACCAAAGAGCCAGAGCTCAACACCCGCAAGCACAAATAGGTTAGTACAAATAGGTGAGTACACACACACACACACAAAGGAACAAGGGTCGAAACTTAGTTTCCAAATGAGCCACAGGGACGTTAGAAAGAACTTTTTCAGTGTCAGAGTAGTTACAGATGGAATGCGCTAGGCAGTGATGTGATGGAGGCTAACGTACATACGTATGAGGCTTTATACACAGTTTTAAATGTAGATATGATAGAGCCCAATAGGCTCAGGAACCTGTTCACCTGTTGATTGACAGTTGAGAGGCGGGACCAAAGAGCCAGAGCTCAACCCCGCAAGCACAACTAGGTGAGTACAACTAGGTGAGTACAGGAAGCATCCGGTAGAAGCTGTTTAACTACCTGGTACATATTTACTGCTAGGTGAACAGAGGCATCAGGGGGAAAGAAACTTTGCCCATTTGTTTCCACTTTCGCCGGGGATCGTTCATCGGACCTAGGATTACGAATTCCAAGCGCTGTTCACTCAGCTGTCTGGTTCTATATCTCACATGTGTGTCACTGATGTTGTGTTTTTGTCACTTATGTTGTATGTTTGCACTTATATTATGTGTCTGTTATGTTGTGTGCTTTTACTTGTGTTGCGTATTTGTCAGTTGGATTGTGAGTTTATCACTTACGTTGTATTTGTCACTTATGTTGTATTTGTCTCAAGTTGTGTGTTTGTCACCTGTGTTGTGTAGCTGTCAATTATGGTGTGTGTTTATCACTTTTGTTGTTTTTGTCACTTATGGATTTTCTTTGTCACTTATGTTGTATGTATGTCACCTATATTGTGTGTTTGAAACTTATATTGTGTGTTGGTCACTTATGTTGTATGTTTGTCATTTATGTTATGTATTGTCACTTTTTTGTGTTTATCACAATTATGTTGTTTTTTATCTCTTATGTTCTATGTTTTTCACTTATACTGTAAGTCTTTCCCCTTGTGTTGTATGTTTGTCACTTGTGTTGTGTGATTGTTACTTGTGGTATGTGTTTGTTACGTGAGTTGTGTGTTTGTCACTTGAGTTGTGTTTGTCACTTGAGTTGTGTTTGTCACTTATGTTGTGTGTTTGCCACTTGTGTTGTGCGTTTGTCATTTATGTTGTATGTTTGTCACTTATGTGGTGTGTTTGTCATTAATGTTGTGTGTTTGTATCATGTGTTGTGTGTTTATTACTTATGTTGTGTGTTTGTCACTTATGTTGTGTGTTTGTCATTAACATTGTGTTTGTTTCTTATGTTGTGTACTCACCTAGTTGTGCATACGGGGGCAGGGGTTGAGCTCTGGCTCTTTAGTCCCGCTTCTCAACTCTCAATGAACTGGTGTACAGACTCCTGTGCTTATTGGGCTCTGTCAAATCTACATATGAAACTGTATATCAAGTTTGCCTCCTTAACATCACTTCTTAATGCGTTACTTTTGTTAACTACTCCTACACTGAAAAGCTCGTGTAGCATTACTCTTAATCGTTTAGCACCCATGCAGGATTCTCTCTTATCACTAACTGTCACTTATGTTGTGTTTGTCACTTATTTTGTGTGTTTGTCACTTATGTTTTGTTTGTCGCTTATGTTGTTCTTGACCCTTGTGTTGTGTGTTTGTCATTTATGTGGTGTTTGTCACTTATATTGATTGTTTGACACTTATGTTTGAGTGTTTATCTCTCATGTTGTTTTTTTGTTCTTTGTGTTTATCACTTATGTTGTGTGTGTGTTTTTCGCTTAAAATGTGTGGGCGTTGTTTATTGAGTAAAAACTGTATATGATACTGTTATTTTTATATTGATAAACAGTGCCTTTCATAACAGTTGTATATAGAGTGTATGTATATGTAATAACAGTATATGTAACAATTGTTGTCTGTCACAATGTATTCAAACTTTGTCACGTGTTCTGTGTAAAACGTGCAGAGAAAGAATAGAGTATTTGTTGACCAAACCACACACTAGAAAGTGAAGGGACGACGACGATTCGGTCGTTCCTGGACCATTCTCAAGTCGATTGTGGTTTGGTCAATATATTTCAGCCACTTTATTGTGACTCCTCGTATGCATATAGAGTATTTCATTAATATTTTGCAACATTAAAAGAGGAAAACAATATTTGTTTCTAATTAAGTATGTGTGAGGTTTATATATGTTTTTACATTAATGTTTGGCTCTCTTCCCAGATCCTGCTATGTGTGCAGACAAATTCTGGTGCTTGGATGGGTCTTACTGCGTGCCTGAAGATTGGAAATGTGATGACTTCCCTGACTGCAAAGATGGTTCCGACGAAATTTCTTGTGGTCAGTCGCTAGCGTTATTGCCCGCCGTCAGTCGATAGCTTCCTTTCAAACAGAAAAATTAAGAAGTATTATTATATAACAAATATTTTGTTACTAGTCTTAGTTAGATATGGAGGCGGCCAGTAAATTAATTTCCGCATTCATTGCTAAATAGTCACGGAGTTCTTTTGTCAACAACGGCGAGGTAAGTTTCTTAAACTGCAAATTCTAACAAATAATTCAAACGTATTTGTCAGGTATTCAACACTGCAGTATTTGACCTGATCTGTCAGCTTTATTTGCTTATAATAAGTGAAGCTGTTGCATACTCTTAACACTTCAAATTTTAAGGCAAAGAAATATATAAGTACACTTGATATTGGCAAGTGATTAGGGCTGATAAGAGTTCAAGGAGAGACTTACTACAACTTCGTAGTGATGGAATGAAAGTAAAGGAAAGACCTCATATATTTGGAAGTGTATTAAAAACCCAATTTTTTATATGTAAAATACATCTTTTCTCTAGGTTCTCTATACAATGTTCAGAACACTGTACTCACCTAGTTACGCTTGCGGGGGTTGAGCTCTAGCTCCTTGGTCCCACCTCTCAACTGTCAATCAACTGGTGTACAGATTCCTGAGCCTACTGGGCACTACCATATCTACATTTGAAATTGTGTATGGAGTCAGCCTCCATCACATCACTCCCTAATGCATTCCTTCTGTTAACTTCTCTGACTCTGAAAAAGTTCTTTCTAACGTCCCTGTGGCTCATTTGCGTTTTCAGTTTCCACCTGTGTCCCCTTGTTTGCGTACCACTCGTGTTTAACAGTTTATCCTTATCTATCCTCTTAATTCCTCTGAGAATTTTACAGGTAGTGATCATATCTCTCCTTACTCTCCTACCTCCAATGTCGTGAGATGCATTTTACGCAGCTTTTCCTCGTAACTGATGCCTCTTAGTTCTGGGACTGGCCTAGTGGCATACCCCTGAAATTTTTCCAGCTTCGTCTTGTGCTTGACAAGGTACGGGCTCCATGCTCAGGCTGCATATTCCAGGATTGGTCTTACATATGCGATATACACGGTTCTGAATGATTCTTTACAGAAGTTATTGAAGGCAGTTCTGTTGTTAGCCAGCCTTACAAATGATGCAGATATTATTTTTTTTATGTGGGATTCAGGAGACAGGTTTGGTGCGATATCAACTCCTAGATCTTTCTATCTGTCCGTTTCATGAACGACTTCATCTCCCATTCGGTATCCTATGTGTGGCCTCCTGTTTCCACCGCCTAACATTCACTCGGGTTGAACTTTAGTAGCCATTTGTTGGACCGTTCATTTAATTTGTCTAGGCCATATTGTAGCTTCTTACTATCTTCCTCTGACTTAATCCTCCTCATTAGTTTCTGTGTGTGGCTCAGTTTTGATTCCCTCTTTGAGACTACATTTGAAATTGTCCCTAACATATATGGTTACTCCCCCTCCTCGTCTAATACATCTATCTGTGTGAAATAGTTTAAATTCACTTATTTGATATTCAGCTAATAGTTCTCTATTTTCTACATTCATCCACGTTTCGGTAAGTGCAATAATATCTATTTCTTCTGTACAGACAGGAGGCTTCACAACATGCGTTTCACGACTCAAATACTCGTAGACGTAAACTCGTTGCCCGGGCTACTGTTGGGAACACCTGATAATGGAGACCGCATGGAGGTGGAAGACTATCTCTCCTCGTATCATCACGATCCATGCTGGAATCAAAGTTATAATGTGAAATATGTCTAGATTAAATTTATATGCCACTATTCATGATGGAAAGTGGGATTACAGGCGAAATTTAAACTAACTGTAGTTGGTGTTATCACACTTCGTCACGATGAGCAACCTACAACTGAATGTTAATAGGTGCACTTAACAACAAAATCAGTAGGAAGTCGGAAGATTACACTCGCCGTTGCTTGTGATGACTGTAGACAGAGACTCCCTCGAACTCTGACACCTGTTGTAGCAAAGATGGTGTAATTATGAGTCGTAGTGGGAGCTCTCAACACTATGCGTCTTTTCTCTCAGAAATATGGCTGCCTAAGCATGCCTTTCCTTTCTAGAAGCGGAAAAGCGCCTTCTTCCTTCTCCCTCCCCTCTCTGCTGTTCCTGGTGGTGGGGACGTGGCATGTTTGCGATGGGCAGCCATGTTCCAGCTGTCATGAGGATAAACTCCATAAGTTTGGAGTCTACTGGCCATGCTGGTTACCCGCTTGTGGACCTGGTCTTGAGTGACATGCTCAGGGTCCCGGTCCAGGACGTATATGGTGTCAAGCTGGTCACTGCTCGGCGTGTCATCTGTGGGAACCGACCTGTGAGATTTATATTTATTTAATTTATATGAATTTATATTTACGTTAATTTATATACTTCGATAGCAATTTGTATGATAATGAGTGGACTGTATTTCTGCAATAATCTCATAATCTCACAAATCGATCCTCTACACATTAGGGGGGTTTATTAAATTTATATATATGCAGCCAATCTAACTACAGTATTAGACTACATACATTGAAGAGGTTCCTTATCTTATAGTACAGCAAGTCTTAGTCCACCAGGTATAACTAGGTTGTAGACACCACATTTTCCCTCTTTGAGGTAGCTTCCATCACCCTGGTAACTGATGCACAAAGCATGCTTCCTCGTCTTGACCTGTCAAAAGGGCGCTAGCTGTAAAGCCAGAATCCTATATATGACAGCTATATCAGAGAAACACTGTACATGGAACAATGAAGACCTGGGCTAATTACCTTTAGTTTGAGGCTGCCTCGTGTTCTAACCGGGCCACCCTATATCCTGACATTAATGGCCATAAATGAATGATAAACGGGTTTCGGATAGACACTTAACTTGAATTTGTAGACAGCGTGTTGATAATGGTACACCTTTGGTTTCCATAACACTTCGTCCAAGTAAAATTAACAGGAGCTGTATTTGCTCCCGTGAGCCTCTGTGGTCTCAGTATCAACAATGGCAATGTCTAACTCTCCATACTACTGACGCTACTGGCCGACATTGTCCAGATATAATAGGAGCCGAATTTGCTCCATGCGTCTCGGAGGTGACAACAACAATGGCTGCCCCTCCTTCACCACTCTGACGCCTGGCTTACATTGTCCAGATGACAGAAAGTGATAGAAGGGTAACATTTACTCTACTTTAATATTGATAATTAAGTTAATTTATATGAGATGTTTTATGATGGTAAAGTCCAAAGACTAATGTATTTAAGAATAATTCCCAGCAGAATAGCTGGTGAATTATAATAGTATGTGGTGATGATATCCCGTTTTCTATAGACAGAATGTTCCACTACAAGTTACGTTTTCTATGGGTTAACTTGTTTATACAACACAGCTATTATTACCTGTCTGTATGATATTAAATGGTGTCGGATTTTCTGACATAATTCCCCAGGGGGCTGCTCACGGGTCGAAGTCCTCTTTAGAACAGACGAACAGCGATACTCCTCCTTCGAATTATTACATTAATTTGATGTTAGTAGTTAGTAATCACACATTTGTGCGTCTGTTCGTACAGGACGGATGTCCCGTACTAGAGTTGCAGGGGTTAGAAGTCTAATGCGATTTCATTTCCCTGTCAACTCTTGAAAGGCTAATATTCAAGCCTAATTACATATTTAACCCAGAAGACTGAATGTGATCAAGTACTACAGTCAAGTATGATTCAGGGACTGCAGTGAGATCAGTGACATTAGATATAACTTGAAGTTTGTTCAGGTAACTGGTCACTGATATATAAACACTGAGGCCTATGGAATACATCTTGATTAAATAATAAATGTATCAAATCAGTCATCAGATTTATTGGGGTTTAATTTAGTTAATTAATTCAGAGGATTGAATAGCTCATCATTAAAGTAAAGTATGGTTCTGAGACTGCAGTGGGTTCAGTGACATTGGTCGTAGTGACTTGTAGCTGTTTTAGGCTACTGTCCACTGATTTGCCACTGAGGCCTCATGAACTCATCTTCAGCTTCAAATGATGATACTAACATCAACCTCTGTTGGTATAGTCAGCTGTAATCTCCTTAGTATAATGCTACTGGAGAAATATAATCAGCTGACAAATTTAGATTTCTACTGGTATTGTTTATCTGCAGGCATAGGTCTCCTCAGGCTTGATACTGGGCCTGAGAGTAATTTACCTCCTGCAGAGTTTAACATGGTTATACCCTGATATTTAGTAGGGCTACCGATGAATCGATGACAATAGTCTGTCCCTACAAGGAGACCGAAGTCGTTGAGGTGATCAGACTTAATATTATCTGCCAATTTTATTCCTCTATTTCTCAGGAATTTGGCTGTTGCTCTCAGACCTTGAACTTGTAGGTCTACTGGTATTTTGTCCACCACAATGGCTTGTACTCGACAGACGTACCTGCCTAAGCGTACTGATGGTTGTACCACCTGGTAGACATGAGGTCCTGCATCTGTTACAAACCCTGAGATATTGAATGACATCTGGGCTACAGGCCTTAATTGTAGTTCATCTGCCAACTTTTTAGTGACATATGTTCTCTGGGATCCTTGGTCAAACAACCCACGTGTATGGACCTTGGCCCTCTTATTCTGGATGGTAATTTGGGCAGTAGGCAAAGTCGTATTACCTTTAGACTTCGCCGATTGGACACTCTTTGTATGTTGCACCTTGCAGTACTGTACTGTGGTGGGAATGCTATCTTCCACCTTGGGTATTGAATACGTTAATTTCATATATTTGCACAGTGCTGCATGGTGCCTACCTCTTCTACACCTGTTGCAGGTGTTGAATTGGGTATCACAATAGTCTATGTTGTGTGACTTGAGACACCTTGAACATCTCCCTAATTCCTGGAGTCGCTCAATACGAGTGTCTCTGGTTGGATAATTAGCACAACAGTATGTTGAATGTTTCTTTTTGCAGAACATACATGTCCCCCAGCCTACTGCACGTTTGGAAGTTACCGGTTTGGGTGAACTAGTAACAGTAGGCTTGGAGGATGCTG